TGTTAACCAAATTACAAGACGTATCTCGTTTTTCTTCTTTTTTTTTTTTGGAAATTCTACATTTGCGAGTTGGGATATAGGTACATATTTCTGATATTCTGATATCCTAAATTTGAGATAAGCTACACTCACGTAATGCGACCAAGAACAGTGTATTAAATCACAGTTGCACGAATGACGCTCCTTTACCTGCGAGATGTAACACTTCACTAATTTTCTACTCACAATTCTCCCATGCTTCCTATCGGCAAACTCCATACTGAACCAGAAAAACTTAAAGAGACAACAAGTGGCTGAAACCTGTACAGTCATCGCATCATAGTACACTTCCGTACACATCACAGTTACGTATTCATTGAGAAATACAATTTTTATCTCCTCTTTTTTCAAATCTCAATTCGTCGTCCTTCACTACTCCTCACCCACCTCTCTGATAAGTTATCACAGACGTCACGTTACTCTTCCGAGAAAGATTCATCTATCTGAGACATTGTTCCGCTATGACTAATATTTTCCAAAAGAAAATTTCCATTTGTTGAACTTGCAATTCAAAGGTTTGTCGAAGGGAGAGAATTAAAATATCCGATTTCCAGGAGCGAGCTCAATTTTCACGTCGTTTGCGAAGAATCGAAAGAGATCGGTATTTGCAAATGATTGAATGGAAATTACGGACATCGTGATAAATCGGGACGAGAGTGTAGCCGGTCCGGGGTCAGATACGGTTTCCCGATTTCTACTGCGCGCCGCATAACGAAGCGAATTCTTTCCTCATTACTGCGTACATCTCATTACGTAGACGGGGAGCGGACATACCGCGATTTTCTCTGATCAAGAATTCCTCGCATGCTTCTGAACAATAAAGTGTGATTAAATTCGAATTTCAAATGTTACGAAGACCCGGCGAACATTTAAAGAAGTTGTCACTTCCGGTCTTTCTCACCCCTTTCTCCCTTTACCGCGGCTCGTTCGTTTGTCCGCCGCGGTGTCAATAGATTTCCGTGTAATAGCATTACCTGTCCGCGAATAATTTCAATTAAAAGTCGCCTTGATGAATTGCACGAGTCCCTCGAATAAATTCTACGTATAATTTTAGTTGTTTATACAATAGAACCTTGTATAATGCGATCAAAAAATTGCTAGTGTCCCCGTATAACGCGATAAAGAAAACAAAAGAACGTACAGATTCTGAATTTGTAATTTTTGGAATTATTGGGTTAATTAAATCCGACTCAAAAAGCGACGTGGCTGGAATTTAGTTTGTATTATATTTCCCGCGTTATGGGGAGTCCTACTGTATTAAAATGTTGCAGATGAAGCGACCGAGGTGTTAATAAAACTTTCAACGTGTGTAGCTTTAAGAAAAATATAATATTTATTAGTTGAATTTGGGCCTTTCATAAAAACAAAATTTAAAAAGCGTTGTCCAGTAGTACATTTGAGAACGAAATTCCCAAATCAGCCATTTCGTATTCAACAACCCAATAGATTTGTATAGAAAATTGAAAGGAGTATTTATCAAGAGAAATTGTAATCTCCTAATTGCAACGAATCAAACACGATTTATCAAGATTTGCAAAGTATATTCCACAACAAAATGTTATCAAAATTTATGATTGTTTCGAAGTGTTCCATGTTCGTTTTAATACTTCTCCAACCGTACATACAAATTTCGACGTTACTTAACCCCTTACCTATTCTTTACATCACTTAACCCTTTCACTTAACCCTTTCTATGCAGTCTTTTCGTAAAATATTCCAAATAAATGTCAACTAAATGCACTTCATTTAGAAAGAAATATTTCATACGGAAAGTTTAATATTACTATCCAAAAATTTGGAGAATCAGATCAAAATATGAAAACAACTTGCCCTTGCTCCAAGATTCCACTGTCTCCTTCGAAACAGTTCCCTTGGACATGTACACAGGGATTCCAGTGATTTTTCCATGATTCTGTACAATCCCTGGCAGTCCTCAAATGTGAATGTGTTGAGCACGTCCTGCGATTCTGCCAGGATCTCCTCAATTGTGTCAAAACGACGACCTTTCAGCCGCAATTTCTTCTTAGGAAATAGAAGCCAGTGGCAGGGAGTGAAGTCGAAGAAGCCTGTTGTTGTTTCCTTGCTTGTTTGGACGTTTGCATCGAATGTTCTTCCTTAGCCCCTTCAAAACCTCGCACTAAAAGCTGTAAAAGGATCTACCGACACCTTTTAACTGCGGAAGTTCATCCATTTGTGCGCGCTATTGAAATTCTCCGATTTCTTTCTTACAGCACTATATATGACGTAAAATAAATAAACGAAATTCACTCTATTTTTATGAATATGAAACACGTGATACTTTAGATTCAGAAATCAGTCAATCTTTCAGAAACTGTTCAATTAATCTGATACGTATACTTCGTGAAAAGTGTACAATTAGGCTTAACACTTATCGAAGGTAAATTCTAAATATCAGCGCGTTCTTTATTGAGATTTTTAATGCGGTAATTAATTTTTAAAGAGAGAGTTGTAAAAGTAGGTTAAACATGTGCGGTATTTAAAAATGAAAAGACATATTTCACAGAGGATAGATTTTATTGTACAAACTTTGAAATGTAATATAGACGCTCTAGAAAACTCGCGATAATAAAATATTCACTTGTGAAATATCACGGTTTCGAGTTTGACGTTCGAGAATTTCGAAACTAACATTAATGTGTGGCATTTATTTCACGAAACTTCGTTAACAATCTTATCTCGCTTCTGCTCACGTATTGTTATCCGAAACGTGGTCTTGTGTTATCAATTAAGCAAGCTTCTGATTGTCAATACATAATCTCCTGAATTATGTAAACTTCCGAGATATAGAATATTCGTCTTCTTGCTCGCTAATTCGTACAATATTAATAATGCAATTCATTGCAGTGCAAATTTCTTACGCGTTGTACATTAATTTGTAAAATTTACCGAAATTAATAAAGTGTTATATTAGTATACCTGTGTAAGAGTATTTAAAATTTGTCTGTAATTTCGAATATTAGTGAGAAAAGAAGACTACTTAGAAAGCAGTGATTGTACAATGAAAGTAAACACATTCTATCTATTAATATAATATAACAATAGCGTTAGGTAATTTATGACACACCTGATATATTTTCATTACCCGAAATTCGAAAGAAAATAAGATTATACAGATGCGTCATGCTTTAACTGATAAGTACCGGGGCAAGATTACGATCTCGATTATTTTAAAGCTAATAAGCTAATGACGTGACGTGAACAGATTATATTCCATACATTACATTACGCTTACATCTTCTGAATTAAATGTAACTGCTACGACAGCATAGTAATTTCCTAAGATTATCGCGAAGAAAGTAGAATATACATGACAATTCCATTAAAATCAGAAGCCATTATTTAATGTATCGCGAGCAATGCCTGTGCTGGCAGAAGAAATCACATGTCATTATTTGAAATTTTATTTGAAGAAAAATGAAAACAGATCTATTATCGAAATAATTTCCATTACTGTTGACGACCTTTCCCCATTTTTCTGGCAGCTTACGAACACCATCGCGATAGAAACTCGGTGGCTTTGAATGAATTATGAGAACCAAGTCGGAAATCTGTCATAAAACCGAGAAAAGACGATCTTTAATTCATTCTCACGTTACCTTAATCAGTATTAAACAATCGAAAACGCGTTGAAACGTCTTAAGAAGGTAAAAATCTTTATTTGACCGCTAACTAAAGGCAGAAGCAGCGATCGCCTGCTGTACACAACCAAAATTGGTCTAAAATCCCCAGAATTTTATCAACGAGACTAATTTTCGCCAGTCTATCGTCAAAGCTATTCGAAAAAAAGAAATCAATATCGTTCTCTTCTCACGACATTCCGTTGTATCTTATTGCCCTTGCCAACGAGTTACTCGACGTGGCCATGGCAGGGGTGGCGGAAAAAGCAACGTGTGTGCCCTTAAAGAGAAACAGAGAGGCGAAACGAGGAACCTAGACCAGTTCGTTGTGTAGAAGCGTTGGCACACACGTTTGTATGGTGGGTTCCTCGACAATAGGCATTGTGCACCCGCCATAACCAGGAACCGAACGCGACAGCACCACGCCGGTATTGTCCGAATGTCAGGCAAAGTTCCTCCTCTCTCTCTCTCTCTTTCTCATCATCCCTTGCTCCCTCACTGTCACTCCTCCTTTCTGATTCGCGTGCGTACATTTTCTTGTAACATTCCTCCTCGCTGTTTTCACTCTTCCATATTGTTCCCTCCTTTTCACTTTTTGCAAATATATTTTTCCTCCAATTACTTTCACCTTTCCCCCCAAAAATTTTTACAGCGTCGTTCGTTCGCAGAGATCGGCGATAAATTATTTTACATTCGCTCCATGAATCGTAGAGCGTGTGCTGTTCCAACGAGATACAGTATTGGCCAAATATGAATCATTTAAAAAATATTTGAAATATTGAAACGCGAAAACAATAACTTTTGTATTTATTTTGGCGATACTTAGTTGGACCACACTTTGTTCAACATTTGACAATCGCAGCAATTTAGTTACGTCTCTTACCCTGTTTTTTTCTTTTTAAAGAAGAATGAACTTGCGTTGATAGTCACTCGTTATCAGTTCACTCATATCTGGAATATTTCTAGCCGGTATCGAATATTCACTTGTTTCGGGAAGATCGCTAATGGGTGATTTTAATCCCAGTGCTAAAGGAAAATGAGAAAGATCAAAGGGTTGGAAAAAGAGGGATAGAGGAAAAGATTTAAAAGACCGAGGTAAACACGTGTAAACTATGACCTCGAGCTAATTTCCTCGAAAAATTTAATCACTGATCGATCAATTATCTTCAATGGATTATCACCCACTGAGGTAAAGTGCTTGTACCCTAATAGCATTTATCGTGGCTCGATTGATAAGGAAACAAGGCAAAACTGAAGATAATGGCAGTCATCTGAGTATATAAAGTGAATTTGATATACGTCTATATCATTCAAATACATAAGTGTCTGAATACGAAGTTCCTCTCTTCACAAAAAGGAAAATGAAAGGTAAGCTAATTGATCTTAGTACAAGTCTACCCGGTAATAAGGCGAACAAGCATTGAACAGGGATTATTATTTCTTAACATTTCGTTATTTGTCATTGTTAAGCATGTACTCTTAGGGCAAGCATCGTATGTCACATATGATCGTGTAATTCTGTAAAACACATAATACCTACATTTTTCTTACTTTTAACTGAACAAATGAAATTCTGTAAAATAAGGGAGAACTAATCGATACAACAATTTAGTGAAAAATTCGGATAATTCTTTACAAGGTTGGTCCGCCTAACGTGACCAGCTCAATTATTTTCGTTATTAACAGACCGATGAAAAATTTTTTAAAGGATCTCCAAAGTGACGACCTTAGATTTTCTCTTTTTTTTAAATTAATGTTCAAGATCACGTTCAATTTTTATTAACTCTATAGTCTTTTTCGCCTATTAGCCAGCAGGCACTTGGACAACTCCAACGATCTCAATACAATACATATTCTTTATCTATAAAGTTTATACAAAGAAAAAATTGAAAGTGACTTCGAAAATTTATTTAAAAAAATCTAAGCTCGTGATCTTGAAGATCCTTCGAAATTGTATCCTTCGTGACAACAAAAATTTCGATCGTTAGGCGAACCACCCTGTATGCTGTAAGAATGATTTAACTGAAATGCGTTTCTCGCAAGAGATCAACTACGCGAAGGAATAATTGGATTTGTCGTTATCTTTACAGGACTGATGTTGTTAGTCTTGTCGGTCTGCGTGGCCTGCGCATTCGCTGATACCAATCCCCTTAAACCACAATGTCCAGAAGAAATTGTCGACGATAAGGTTCCAATGGTTGTACATCCATGCAACTGCAGCTCTTATTACGTCTGTCTCACCGATCCACCAATCCCCATGACATGCCCTGATGGCCTTCAATTCGACCAAGTCAAGCAGATCTGCGACTTCAAATGGCGCGTCAAGTGCAGACCACACCCTCAATGCCCAAAAAGGAGTGCACTCAACAACGAAGTTGAAACTTTGTAAATACTTCTTTTCAATTCAATTTCGTATTTGTCTCCAAGTGGAACGCGATTACAAAAAGATGGAAGATAAACGTACACTTTTCAGTGATCACGTTACTTGGTATCAACTTGGAACGTTATGAATATTTCTATAGTCATTTGTCTACTTGTTCAAAAGCTACTGCTACCCATACAATATCTTGTACTTCATAAATGAGAAAGCAATAAACAATTTTATCACACCTTAAATACGTTTTACATTTATACCCTATATGTTCACTTCGACGTTCGCCTTTTGTAAGAGTATCGGTTCAATGAAAAATAGTTTAAATAGAAAATAGAACTTTGTCACGTTTGGAATTTGACAACAAATGACGAATAAAAAATTCGGAGTTAAGAAGGCAACTGTCAGCGTTGATATTTCTACCGACCTTCGATCAAATTAAATTTGAAAACTTTCTTTAATATTGTTAACTACATTTCAAGTGATCTCAACTGCAAGAATTCGATTCACGAGAAGTTATAAATCCTTACCTGAGTATTTTCTTTATATAATTATTTAAACGAGAATGTTTCTAATGTTCTAATAGTCTTTTATTACAATTGACACCTTTCAACAACGATCTCGCGATTTCCGCAAATTGAAAACGATCGATTCGCTACTGACAACGAAATGAAATTGTGTCGAGCTTTCCAAAAGCTCGCAATTCCCCCGGTTGGCAATTCATAATTATCGTCGACTCGCAGGAAACAAAATTTCAAACGCCGCTCCACATCAAGTCACCGTTGCTCATTTACTTCACGCGGAGGATACCGAGGACTTTACAATTCAATCTCCTCTATCGAAGCGTCGTATCGAACTCGTTCGTCCTTTCATGAATAAGTCGAGCCAGCCGGCGTTTGTCGCGAGCAAGTAGGGAAAAACGGTTCGTCGATCCGGACATTATCGCCGCGATCGATGGAAACTGGTCGAACGGATGAAAAGAAGATGAAGACGCGATCGAAGGAAGCCGAAGGAACGATGAGGAACAGATGAAAAGGGGCTTACAAGAGGACTTTCGAATTCCCCGAGGATCGAGCCGTGTATCGTGTGCAAAACAGGAGGAAGAGAACGGTGACCCGGGGAAACTTAGCGCAGAGAGGGGAAGAGTAGCTGTGTGCCGGAAAGTGGGCAACAGAGAAATGGAGACGAAGCCGGAGAAAGAGAGATCTCATCAGAGCGGCGACACTTAAATTCCCTATTTCGTTTGGCGTTCAATGCAGCCAGCTACGGAGTTTGTCGCGTTTCCCCCGGTAGTACACCGCCGAGCGGTGCCCGAGAACCTCGGCGTTCTCGTTCGTCAGTTAATGTCGTATTCTAGATGTAAAAAGGAGAATGAGCGGGTAGAAAGAAACGAGAAGGAGAATGACGGAAGAAACGGCACAGTCGAACGGATCGAGAATTCTTATCGGTACGAGTCAGCTACCGGCTACCCAACTTCCTATATAGTACCTTCACTCTCCCATCTCTCCTATTTTTCATTTTCTTCGACCGCTCTTTTTCTCTCCTTCTTCCTCCTCCACCTCCACCCCGCACAACCGTTTTCCTCTGTTACTTTACCACTTTCGCCCGGTTCCTCGACTTCCTTTTGCCGCTCTCTTCGCTATTGCTCGACGAAATATACCGGCCTTCAAGCACGCCCCGGGAAATGTTAATGGAATCTGTTCTGTGTCAAATTGGAAACCGATTGGACGCTCTTGTTGTCATGAGCTGCGGGACAACTATGCTGCTGTGCTTCTGGCAATTTCTGGGGTAGCTCGTGCTGCTGAATTTACAGCTTCTTTTGTCTTGGCTTGTTGATGGTCGTTTGTCGTTGTAGAGATCGTTCGGAGTTTGTGTCAGTGGCTCGTGAATACTCAGATATTAGGTTAATTTATTTGCGAAAATTTGTAGGTTTGAAATAGAGTCTTTGAATTCGTTTGCAGTCACGATTATTCAATTCACAAGTTTCTGAGTGCATTGTTTAGAATGTTGTGTGGTGTGAAACACGTTCCAGCGCAAGGAAATTCCAACGCAGCTTTGTTGACGTAAATTTAATAGATGATTCAATTCAATATTTCAAATTACGTTCAAAATCATTTTCAACGTAAAATTTACTAGTCAGCTGACTTTGGTTGCCAGTGAACGGTCTAAAAATCGCAGAAGAAAGGTAAGTGTAGCTTACTTAACACTATAACTACCAGCCGAGGCAAAATACCCAGTTAGCGACTTTCCAGGCGTGAATTTTTGTGTAAGTAAACTATATCGATACGAATAGAAGCATATAAATTCGGAAAGTTGCAAACATTCACGTTTCTTCGAAAGATGCTAATGGGTCACTTTTGACCCGGTCGCTAGTTCTAGTGTTGAATTCTACATGGAAATCACGCCGATTCGCCATTTCTCCAAATCTCAAATCATCGATCGTGCGTACTTATCTTTCAATTACATCTCGCTGTTCGTGACGTTACATACGTTTAACGCGTGACACGGACTTCCTGTTAATGCACTTGCATAATCGTCAAACGCGATGGAAAGCATCTCACGTGCGGCTAGGCTCGCTTCGAATCGGTTGCCACGTCTCGAAGTTGTTGCGCCTAGTTGCTAGTATTTAAATTCTCGCAATTTCCTGTTTCGTTTGCCTCTTTCCTTCATTTTTTCCTCTCTCTCTCCCTCTTTCTCTTCCTTCTTTATCCGCGGCAACAAAAGGAATTCGAAAGGTACGATCGGGTAGTTAATTTATGCTGTCTGTCTTGCTAGGTGGTACGTTCTGTCAAGCCGCTAGTCGCGGCAGGAGGTGAGATTAAATTAATAGTCAGACATTTTTCTAACGGAGAAAGCGTACACGAAGCGCAGAGCAGAGGGAAACAAAAGAGGCGAAAAAAAAGAAGAGAGAAGGAAAGAATACCGATTATAAAGCGCACAGATGGCGTGCAAAGAACGCAAAGGGGTCTGTTTGCACGAGGCATGCGGCAAAACTCAGACTTGGCCTGCCCGTAGAGATTGCAGTTTTGTTGCGTGTCTCCTTGGACTTGTACATTTATTACACGGCTGGTAATTCTCATACAACTGGATTATTGTTTTTTAATTGCCCTCCTATGTTGTTTGTTTCCTTTGTTCGCAACGCTACTCTTCCTATTAAAACGCCACTGCGGAGGTGTTTCATAATTAAGGCCACCGATGTGATTAATCATATTTACGATTCTATTTCTTCTCGACAAAAATTACTATTACCGCGTATTAGCGTGAAATTTTCATTTCTGACGAATCGAAACATTTCTTAAAAATTACGATAATATTTCTTACACAAATTTTTGAAATATTTACAGGGAGGTGCGGCTGTAAAGATCTATCATTGGCGTGAAAACACCCGCTTGAAGATCAATTAAACAAACTTTGTCACGTTCTTCCGAATAAAGCTTATTTTATCATAAAACACAAATTGGTCCAAGGAATCATCCTCATCGCCTACTGTTCAAATTATCCAAACGTAGAGCAGCCTACCGAGATTCCAACCTAAAAGTTCCAAGAACCATTAAACTTTACGGTTTGTCTTCGCGAAGATTTTTCAAAGGAACCGTCTAATTCTAAGAAGCCTGATCCTGACACCGAATCAACGGAAGATCTTCGTCATCCAGCGAAGCAGGAAGTGATAGAGAGAGAGAGAGAGAGAAAAGGCTATGATGTAGTTGCTGGTTATTCTCTGGTCTCCCCGAGGAAATCAAATTATTAGCACAGCCAAAGCCAACCGGCATATGTACTCGTGTGACGTAACGAAGAACGAACACAGGTGGTCCACTGATATTGGTTTTGCTTCTGAATTTTGTGTACACCCCTTATACCAGTAGACGCACCAGAAACTCGCCACGAAGGGCAATTACTCCACTAAATATTCACAAGTTCATTACGAGCCGAGTTGAACGTGCGTACCTCCTCTTTCTCTTCCCGGTCTCTCCCTCGTCCTCTCTGCTCTTCCGCCGTCACTGCTACTTCATATACACTCATCGTCAGGTTTCCAGGCATCCTGGGTGTACGTTAAATGCGTACAACTTACGGGCACGTCGTACCGGGAATCCCCTGTGTTTCGAACAGTCTTAATTCTCGAGATTGCAAGGTTCAGGCTCGAGCATACGAAGCCTGCGATATCGAAGATTGTTATAATTTCACGCGTAATATCGCTCTGGGAAAAGTGAATCTGATACCGAGGATCGTCACCATTGATTAAGTAGCTTAATCAGGATTCCATCAATATTTATACTCGTGCAATTATTCATTCTTTTCTTTTTTTAAACACTCCTTTTCGTAATCTGTATTTATGCTCAGATAAGATTTTGATTCTCGTGCGTGTACTCGAAAAATTTACACGTGCGCCAAAAATTTGCTTTAGCTTCCTTGTTGCCAGTACATAGGAAAGCTGAAGAAAATATTTGAGAATTAGATAGATTGCCGCAAGTAGCGTTGGAAATTAGAATTATAAGCTTGTGATAAATCTGGAGAAGCTTTGGAGAAAGTTTGCACTTCAAATATCGTCTTAACTTCCGTAGAATATTATAGAATGAATTTTTTTTTAATACAATTATTGCACTCATTTCTGTAATTACTCGGACGAGGTTAATTCGGCGTGTGAGGTAATATTTTCAAATACTACGCGTACGCAACGAGCAACTTTTTACAATATTGAATATTAGCAGAGTTTTATGGTTGTCAGCTGAGTACTTTGTACTTTTAAAAAGTATGTACGTGCCACGTGTTCCGCGATAAAACCGACAAACTTTGCCAGCATTCCGGAGGTTATTCTGAGCCAAAAAGGTTACATAAAGCGTAGGTCGATTAAGTTGCATTATCGAAGTATGGACTGAAATGAGGCAGTCTTCAATCGCTTTACATATCTTCCTCAGGTTTTTGTTCAATTGCGTGAAACTTACGACTGACTTGGATCTGAATAATTTGGTTACTAATAGCGACAGAAAAACTACTTCCCACGCAAAGTTGCTTATTTTTAA